TTATCATTCTATGTTTTTTTGAGATGTGCTATTGAAAAAATGTGGTTTGTTCAAGAAAAATGAAAACAATACCAAGTAAAATTGTCCCACAGCGAAAAGTAACCGCAAGTCAGTCCCATTAGAAAAAAATATATTAGAAATGTTAGACAACACATACACGCAAACCATAAATCTATTACAATGAATGTTAGTTCCGTTTCCTATCATCCTCTGTTCATGAACATCGCAGCGAATGTTAGAAGTTGACCTTACAGGCGATGTAATGGTTTTTTGTCTTTTTCATTTCGTGTTCTATCTACGCTTTCGACTATACCAGTAAGCTTGTAGAACAACGCACATTGTAGAACATTGTAGAACGACGCACACACTTGCCTCGAATCTCTCCATCAGAAAAAGCATACGAAGTCGAGTATGCGAGAAAATGAGCGCTTCATGTTTGCTTTTAGGCTATCCATATTCAGGAGCATGGAGAGAGCAGTGGAGAAAGCACAGGTCTGATAACCGAAGCGTTCTTGATTCGAGTCCAGTCGGCAATCGGATTCCTATTTTTTTCGACATAACTAATTTACCTCACTAATACACTCTACATTTTTCGGTCTCCAATTTTCTTGCATTGGACCGCAGCTAGGTATATCGCATCCTCGGTTCATGCGGTCTCCATTAACATCCTCTGATGATGAATCCCACATAATTGTAAGCGAATCTTACATCCCTCGGTTGGGTGTAGCATCATGAGATTTGTCTCAATACAGCTTTTGTCCACTTCCCCTACACGCTAAGATCAGATAACCCAAATATAGGTTTACTTTACCCAAATCAGGCGTAAACTGCACGAACTCAGATATAGGTAAATTTTTTAACCCAAATATGGGTAAATTTAAATCAAATTTGCATAAAAATAAATCATTTATGGTTCACAAGAACCCATATTTGGGTTAAAAATATTTACCCATTTGTGAGTTTGTGCAATTTACGGCCAATCTCGGTAATCTCTTTGTACCGTCTAGGTAAACTGATCTTAGCGTGTAGGGTATCTGGTACATGTCCGGATGCGGCCAATATAGCTCTTACGATACTCAGTTTGACCGCTAATGGATATGGCTTTGAATTATCATGTGATTTGATGTATCGCTTGATGGATTTTAATTAAAAAGGATTTACCACTTCCCCGGGTATACCCGGAACATGTCCGGGTGTGGCCAACATGATGCTGGTCAATCATCATGACTCTTATTGATCTTATTTTTTGAATTCTCATGTGAATTGATTTATCACATGGTGGGTTTGGCACGTTTGGCTCTGGTCTGATGAAGACCCATACTCACCGGAATATGTTCCGGCCATTGCTCTGGAACCAGCGGTACAAATCCAAAAATATTCAATAACGTTCTATAGGACCATCTTTCTACTGTTCAATACTGTGCTAAACTAATGCAGCATCGGCATGGAATTGTGACTGACTTGCGGTTATTTTTCTCATTGACGTTAAATGTAATCGCAAGTCAGTCCCACTCAGATTTTGGTAATAAAATAAAAATTTCACGATATTTTTCCAATATTTTTGGGTAAACATAGATGCATTCTATCACATTGTACGTTTCCTAGACAACCAGAAGTCGTATAACAATGTACAGAAAGTATCGTAAATTGCTACCGTTTAAGTCAAAATCGCATATAACAATGGCATACCTCGCATTATGTTTAAGTGAAATCGTATAGAATGCAAATTTCCGACCTATATGCGATGGCTCAATTTTTCGTCCTACTGTATCACAAATCAAATCGGATTACATCGTAAGACTTTTCAAAATGAATTTGTTATTACAGATTAAATCGTATATGATGTTAAACCAACTCGTTTAAAGTTAAATTAAAATATGCACGTATATGGCCTCCACTTTTGTACGTATAAGCCATTTCTTTGCATTTTATACGAATTGTTGGCTTGTATATATGTTTGTATATCACAAAAACAACTTTGAATGTACGTGCTTTCTGGTTGTCTGGGTTATTTTTAAATTTATCCCTCCAAAATAAGTGTCAAATCAGAAAACTTGAAAAATCTTTGAACGCCGTTTTCTCATTTCCAGTTTTTTACAGATGGGACTGACTTGCGATTATGGGCAGGGCAGCTATCGAAACTGCTTCCGCCCAAAACTGCTTACCAAGCTTTGCATTGTTGAGCATGCATCGTGCTTTCTCCACCAACGTTCATGCGTTCAGTAACACCATTTTGTTCAGGTGTAAACGGACACGTGGTTTGATGCCGGATAGCTTCACGTTCCAAAACTTCACGGAAACTTTCGTTGACGTACTCCGTCCCATTGTCTGTACGCAAAATCTTCAGCTTCTTCCCGCTTTGTCTCTCGGCTCTAGCTTTGAATTTCTTGTATGCTTCAAGCGCCTGATTCCTCCTTTCAAGAAAGACACGACACACAATTGGTAAGTGCTTCATTCTTGAAGTCGATTCCGCTAGCCACTTCCTTGAGTTTCTTCAAGTTTCCTTCATTCAAATGGCCAAGACGTCTATGCCACAACTCGATGCCGTTAACCAGAAACGATTTTTCCGGCCGACTGACACGATAGAGACCGCCTTCTTGAACTCCGATAATGACAAGCTCGTCGCTTTCATCCCAGACTTCGCACTTGTTCACCGTAAATATTACCTTGTTTCCTCGCTTACAGATGGTGCTGACCGATAACAGGTTGGTTTCTAAGTCCGGAAGTCCTCATTAGCAACTTCCATGCTTCCTTCTGCAGTTTCCACGGAAACCGTTCCCTTTGCAATAGCCTTCATGTTGCTGTTGTTTGCTGTTCCAACGTCTTGTTCCATGGCAACCGCGTTGACGAAAGGTTGATCCTAACGTGCCATGTGGCTGGTGGCACCGGAATCCAGATACCACCATCGGTTCTTACATCTCCAATACAGCACAGTCCTTTTGACTTGCTTGACTTCAAAGACGACTTTTTGGCATTGGGACATTTGGCTGCAAAGTGCCCAGTTTCTCACAGTTGTAGCACAGCTTCTCACTTTTGTTACCGTCCTTTAGCTCGCCGAACTTTTTTCGGTTTGTTTTAAAGTGCGGCTGCTGACCGGACCGCGATCCAATTTTATGTCCTGTAAAATTTTAGCCTCCACTGTCAAAGCCGTACCGGACGCTTCGAGTCCCATGATCATGGGCTCGTACTGCTCAGGAAGTCCCATCAACAGAATCGCCGCGAGCCAAGAATCGTCCACCTTGAATCCCACGGATGCTTATCAATTCTTCCACGTACGCCTCAACGCTAGCACAATTGATTAGCCGTACTGACGTGAATTTTCTGAGCAGCCCAATTTTCCTGGCTAATCCGCTGTCCTGGAATGCAGAATGCAGCTTCGTCCTTCGCGGTTTCCGCATCCTGAACCAGGCTGTAGTTGTAGCTCTCCAGACTTAGGTAGATAGTTGCGAGAGCCTGCAACTTCACGAGCTCAGGAACATCTTCACCGTCTCCGTCAATGGCAGACCAGCTTCCTTCACTGATCAGAATCATCCGCATCGCAAATGCCAACAGTGGCAGCACAACGGAACTTCTGACTCGAACGCTTCCTGCTTCAGTCCTGCCTCTTCCGTTGCCATCTCCATTCCCTTGACCTTGCTGTCCGGATCCCGAGTTTCCGCTTGTGGACCTACTGCTGCTTCAATGAAAAAAAATATTCTGAATCTTCCGGTTAGAGATCCTGGGCCCATAACCGATTGTAGAGTACGATTGAAGCACGTCTTTAAATATTGGTTAACGTTACACAGTGGAATATTTTCTATTTACAACAGTTACACGGATTATCACAGACTACTGCGTTATTCAATAGTTATGCATCAGAACATCCCGGCGGCCCCGACTGGGATTGAACCCAGGCCTGCTGGGGTGACAGGTAATCACGCTTACCACAACACCACTGGCGCTGATAAATGCTCAGATTGAATTTGATAGCACAGATTTCAAGCTCAGAAGAATGGTTTGTGTATTTGCATATTTTTCTAGGCGTTCCCCCTGAAAAAAAAATAATTTTGATAGGGGAAATGGATGTAATGTCGGCCTAAATGCTCATAATTTTGGCTCATACATAAATTTAGCAATCGACTAAATTTTCAATAGCGACCAAAAATATCCATTTGTACCGTCCCAATGATGCATTTGAGCCATTTCCCCTATCACATAAAAGTGGATGCACTTCAATCGCGTCAAAAATATAGTGTAACATTACTTGCCAAAATGGACAAAATAATCATTAATACAGTGACATTACGCTCCTTTTACTGGTTTTTTTTTTTGTGGCTATAATAATTATATGAGATTTTTGACATGATTGAAATGCATCCTTTTGGATGCAATATTAAAATTTATTTTTTGCTGTGTACCTTCACCTAAGCGCAGTGCTACTGTATCTGTCACTTGGATTCTGACAATGTTGCCAATCTTGATGATATGATGTCTTCGATCTAAATCTTGATTATGAACTTGAATATTCCCTCCAAGCATTATCCGAAGCCGATACATCAACGTTGCGTTGAGTTGCGTTTCTAACGGAGTAATTCATAAGTTGCATACCTTTGTTATGTTAATGCTTTTTAGCAGTGCTGCAAAATATCGACCATACACCGCGATATTGACAAAACAGCTTTGGTCGCTCATTTGAGCTAAAAGTCATCTTCAAGGGAAACCATTTCAATTGTCAGTAACGTAATTAAATTAATTTTGAGAAACAATTCCATGAAGCCAATTATATGAACAAGCATCTATGTCCTCAACTGCCTGGATGACAGTAATGTGACACAATGAATGAGAATTTGACGAAGGTTTTTTTTCTGAGAAACAATTCTTCCTGTGAAAATTTCAAAAATAATGTTGGCAATATCGCTATAACTCTTTTAATGACAATCACAAATATAAGCACTGCTTCCTAGTATATATCGGTATCTAACAGTTAGTAACTGTCAAACCATTCCATCTTTTAATTCCAGATTCTCCATTGAATGACCGGACCGCCGGATCCCATCGTCGGCACACCACATTCTACCGTCCTGAACCTCCACACCACCCGCGCCACCATCGTGTCACCACACATTCAACGACCACCGTTGATCCGTTAGCTTGAAAGCACCTAATCTCAAAGCCAAACGACATGTTGCGGTTGTTCCGTGAAACCAGAAACCCCCTCGAGCCGGCACCGTCGCTGAAGTTAGCTGCACTTCTGCTGATGGCCGTATTCGTATTTCTTGACCAACACCGCAATGGAGCCCTTGCGGTTGATCCCGTCGGTGAGTTAACATGCGATTAATTTACAAGTGCGGGGAACGGTTATGCAATAGATAGATGTGAAAACTGTTATTTATTTTGTATACATTATTTGCCTGCATAGTCATAATGAAGGGACAGGGGAACACCCTGTATCTTATCCGAAATAAGCACAAGAGGTTAAAATTACGACAAACAAAAATGTGAAACAACCCAAGTAACAATTCAGAAACTATTTGGCATCCACTCTGATTTATAATGGTTTTATAACGGCAATGAACAACCCATTTAGTTTAAAAACAGTATTTCAAAGTGTAAAACATCCGTGCTTAGTAATTCAGCTTTTTGCTATTTTAAAAACCTTGTATAGTCGTCTGGCGAGAAAGTCAAAAACTGTCTTGTTTTCAAAATGAATTTAAAGCACCTCTCAATCCCTCCATAAAACTGTTCTTAAATTCAATTATGTGCTTCATTAGCAATTGTTTATTAATGTCTCGATAAAATACTCTATAAATCACGAATGACCCAAGAGTGTTAAAGTGACTATAAAAAAAAAACTCTATAAACGTGTTCTATCATTATAAAAGCAACCATAGAACAATTTGGCTTTAAATGAGAGCAAAAATCATATATTGTTGCTTTTTAGATAGGCTTTTTTAAATTTTCCATAAAATACCCAATTACTCTGTTCACAAATTGAACTTAAGAGATGGATCCTCATAGTGAATAAAAGCCAAATTCATGGCAAGGAAATCTTGAAGAACAGACGGAGTAGTATGAAAAATTCAAACAATTCTAACGACCGAAAGGAAGACGATTTTAGCTTCTTTAGAAGAACTAGAACGTCTGGCTGGACCGCTACCATAAACGACTTAGCATCTGGCGAAGACGAGTAAAGTGAGCGTGGCCATCGAATTCTCAAAACATTTTCGAAACATGTTAAAAACAGACCAAGTTTCTCAAGATCTTGCGAATATATAACGATCGGAATAACTTGGATCAGTACCGACAGCAAACCACATGAGTGTCCATTGACCGAAGAAGGAGGTTAGAAGCCTCACCGCTACTGATCGGAATCCATCTTCGTGAGTCGCTGTGGGCCATCTATGCCAAGCGCGTCAACCTCGTTCCAAACAACAGCCTCATCCGTGTTGAACACCCTAATAGCTCAGCATTACTGACATTACTGACGACAAAACTGTCCTTTTCAGGAACATCATAAGAAGTTATTTTTCACATTTTCAAGCTGAACATTGGATTGATCGATTCTCTTCGTTAACTTTCTCTTTCGTTAATAACTTGAGCACATAACCGTTTCTTTTTGTGTTTGTTTTGATAGATGCTAGATAAAAGCTTCTTTATTCGATCAGTGTGCTGAAAATACATTAGAATGTCATTACATGCCCATGGGGAAACAAATAGAAAGATGATGAGGACCTAATGCAAAGCTCAGCTTGATTTGTAAAGATCATCAATCGAATGCCAATTCCCATATGTTAAAATCTAACATATCATGTATTTTAAAGGCAATATTGGGGTGCAATTTGAGAATCCAAAGTCGGCCTAATGAATCGAGATCGATGAGTTCTTGCTTTTTGTTCTTGTTTCCTGGTTGATTCCTTGTTTGCTTGGATCCGGATACGTCGGTACTCTTCAAGTTTGGTGCACGTCTTGTCCGTTGAAAAATGATTTCCACCGCAATTTGCACTTTCAAACGAGCTCCTTCGAGGATGCAGTGTTAAGTGAGATGCTCTTGAGAGCAAAAGTTACACTTTGACTTCAAGTTGCAGTTCCGAGTGCCATGCCCAAAGTTTAAGCAGCGCTTGCACTACGCGACACTCCGGTTGGGTCCTTTGTACTCCTCCCATTTGATGATGACATTGTTGATCGAGCGGATAGCTTGCAAAGCACCGAGTGTTGCACTGCCTTTGGCAAACTGAACCAAATACAGGCAATCACGATACTCTTTGTCCTGATTTCGTCGGTTCATGGGAAAAACCGCCAGTGGATGTAGCTTGTAATTTTCTCGAAGCTCCGGTTCGATGTCCTTGGTTTCCATGATGAGTAGTCCTCTGACCACTGCCTTGAATGGTTTCTCGGCTGCCACGTCATGCGTGTAGAACTCTACGCCAGTCTTGCTCAGGTACGTCTTGGATTTATTGTATTCATTACGGGTTGAAGTGACGATTTTTATTCCCATTCTTGAGAGCTGGAACTCGGCGGTGACAGTGATCGCTTGCATTGTCCGCATAAGCTTGTCCAGTGGGACCGATTTATCTACCAGAGGGGGCAGCTTTTGCTTTGTTGCGAGAGTCTTTCCTGATGGTCCTTCGCCATGATGTTTGCTTGACTCGGTGTCAGGGTAGTTGCCTGCAGGTGGTGCTTGTGAGAATTAGTCGTCTTCCGCATCTGCGAGGAACGCAAATCTGTTTTTGTTCTGACCTTGTTCTTCACTGTTAGCAGTATGAAAATCCTTTGAACAATTAGACATGTTACCCCAAGTAACAATTTTGGTTTTATGAGGGTTCTGTAGACCATGATTTAGACTTGCAACATGCTTTAAAACCACTATAAAACTTACAATGTTACTTGGGTACTATTCCTTTTGCCCTTCTTCTCAATAGGGCTTTCCTTCGTGTCGTTGGGGTCAGGCATGGAAAATCATTTGCATTCATTTACATTCATTTCTCCCTAACTTTTTTAACAACAGAATTCCGCTAAATAATGTATGAAGTTTTTATATGTTTTGTTATTTACTACAACTTTTGTAAACAACTCAAATTCGTATCTCTTATGTATGAAGAACCAGAGCGAACAGAAGCCACTACTGTTTTCAGTGAATTTATTTTACATTCACTGAAATTCAGTAACAAGTTCTGCCCGCTCTAGTTAGTGATGCATAAGAGATAAAGATTTGAGATGTGGGCAAAAGTTGTAGCTAATGAAAAACCTACAAAAGCTCTATACCTCATTTTGTGGAATGCTGTTGATGAAAAAAGTCAGAGGCAAATGAATGTAAATGAATACATTAAATGAATGTAAATGATGTTCCATGCCTGGTTGGGGTTATTCATTATCTTTCCACTCATGTTTTTGTTGAAAACTTAACTACACTTTCCAAATGTTCCAATACGTGTTCGCTTACTAAATGCTTACACTGGAATCCCAATCAATTTTCGCTTTTTTGTATCATCTATTGAATAAACCAAAAGTTTTGTGCACGACAATGTGTAATTTTGACAACAGAAAACAAAGCGTTTCCGTGATGGGAAAAGTGGTTTCTCTCTTACAGTTGCCGAATATTGATTCCAAGCACTGAGAATGCCAGACCGTACCTATCTTTATTTCTTTTGTTGCAAATTTTAAGCCCCTTCTATTAAAAGAATTATGCAAAAAAAAAAATCTTGCCGGATTCTCTTAACAGAAGAGGTTTAAAATTTGCATCAAAAAGCATAAACGTAGGTACCGTCCGGTAGGCTCAGAATCGAGGACAAATTTCTACAGCATTGTTCTAAACTGGCTTCCAAGCTTCTAACCCATCGGTCCTTTTCAGGACCACAAATGACTGATAAAAGAGTTAACTAAAGAGTAAGAGCTTGTTTCCAAGGCATACCGTCCAGAGATTGGCTTGTACTACATGGACATCGACAACTCAACACCTCACAAACAGAACTTTCAAATTGCTTCCCAATTCAACCTATCGAACTTTTTCTCTGATAAGGAGTTAAGAAATGAATTTAATATATACTATACTTTTGTTGTGACATCAAAAGTACCTTTCGTAATACTACGTCAAATCTACGGTCGTGTCTTAGATACAACCTCTTACTTTTGTTTAATTCTGCATAATAGATATTCAAACTTTTTGGGCGCCTTGTGCCAATACTTATCTTTACTTTGTCTAACAACAACTTATTTGCTAAATATAATTCAATTTTTATGGTAATCAAAAAGTTTCTGATACTTTGCATTAATTCCAGAAAATTATATTGAACGGTTTTCTCGGGCGATTGGCACATCAATTTGATTTCAATAGTACAGTAGCCAACCGCTCCATAAATGCGATTCCACCCATCTCTGACTCTCCCATGTCCTTCATGATTTTTTGTATGTGATTAGTATCAACCATAAACTAGTTATCTAAAGAAAATCAGCTCAATTGTTTGAAGAACAGACGAGAAATATCGGTGGCTGGATGCTACAACCCATCCTATATATGGAGGGGCTACTGCATTGTTAAAAAACGATTTTTACGAGCATCCCACATTTTGCCAGATTTTGTATTTTAACTAGACCAGATTGTCCGGAAAATGACCGGAATGATTGTATCTCGTAAATTAGGTTTTTTCCGTACTTGCTTTTTTGCTTTTGCTGTAAGTTGCTGTCAGAAAATAATACAGTCTAACCAACGCCATTTCTCAACAGTCTTTCAACCAACTGAGCTGACTTTTTGTGAGTGTTAAGTTTGTGGTTGGCCCTAATTACATACTAAAAATCAGCTCATTAGGTTGAAAGATTGCTGAGAAATGGCAGTGGTTAGACGGCACCACCCATCGCGCAAATCGGGGATTCCAGTATTATTTTCTAACAGCATATTGATTACTGGACACCACGAAGCGGTGTTTGAAGTGAAGCAAGCACTATCGACTGTATTTCCGAAGAGCAGCTCGTCAACTATGGTCGCTATAGTTTTACGATGCAGCGTATGGTTGTACTGTACAGTATATGGTAAAACCAATGCGTCTGTACAACCATACTGCAGTGTGTATTAGCCCCATTACGGCGATGATTATTCGCCCAAGGAGGTTTTAACGGAGGTTATCTCTATCGAAAACCAACTAGTGTCAACCATGTCTTCCCTAGCTTCAAGTCTCTACACAAATGCGGCAGTAATTTTCCGCCACTTCAACATAGTCCACCACCCACGATTCATTCCACCACTCACCTGTCACAAAACTGCCGAATCATTGGGCACTTGCATAATCTGAGTGCGTACGTGACTTTTGCAGTGCACCAAAATAGA